ATGTAAATATATAATATTCAAACAAAAATAAAATTTATACTTATATTATTTCTCCTCATAAATAAACAAAAGTTAAACTTTCTTTTTAAAAATTGAAACAAAAACTAAATGTTTTTCTTATATATTTAACAATTAACTGAGAAAAACTTCTTAAAAACATAAAAATGTTCAATTTTGGTAATGAGACCAATCAATCTTATTTCACAAATAAAATTGTCACAATTGAGGATATCTTAGAAACATTGCTCACAAATATATTTTGATAGACGGCTATTTTTGATGCATTTCTGATGTGCCCATTGTTTACATAATAAACACTCCACTGTTCTCCAGATTTGCTTTGAAATAAAGGATCACAGCAAATAATACTAAAGCACTCTTCTTCTTCATCATTTTCGTTTTTAAAAGAAAACAAGAAGATATAAAGTAAACGAGCATAAGATATAAACTTGAGATTAACTGTAATATTGTTACAATGTACCCCAGCGATATGTTACTTCTAACCCCAAACCGATGTTGTCAAAATTTATATGAATATGTTTGGAACTACTTAAAAATATCAGAAAAATACATGCACATAGCTTAAGAAATTGTATTTTAAACATAATAAAATGAAAATACGATAAAAAGCATTTCATTTGAAATGTTTAGAGCAAAAAAGTATAACACTGTAAATTTACACTTACGTGGCTTGTCTGAACACAGTACACATAACTTCTTTTACATGTGGCGCACGCGCGATTGGTGGTATGAGGCAAACGCAGGCCTCGATACTGAGTATTTTTGTTCTTCACATGATCATCGTATCTCTTATCATTTAAAAGATATACGCATTGTTACAACTTACCTCCGTTACAACTGATCCCAGTCTCCCCTATATATACGAGGGGCACTACTTATATATTGAGCCTTGGCAACACTGAGTGTTGTCAGGTGCCATCTGACGTTTCCACTAGAAAGTTTGACATTTTTTACCATAACTTTCTTGAGAACGTTTTGTTATTTGAGCGCGATTTGTATTGTTTACAGTCACTTGAAAATTGTGTCTCAGCGAAAAAATGGAATTAAAATAAAATTTTTTTCATTTTAACGGGTAGTAAAATTTAACAGAACTTAAAAACACATAAATGAAACTATAAATCTTGAAATGCACAAATAGAAATATTGAAATATCTAAATTAGGATCGTCGTTGTCATGTTATAGCAATCTCTCAATCTCTCTCTCTCTCTCTCTCTCTCTCTCTCCCCTCTCCCTCCCCCCTCTCTCTCTCTTTCACTTTCCTCTTTGTCGAATTCTATATAAAAACATACAAAATTAATAATAATAAACCAATTTTATATTTAACCACGCATATGAAAAAAATTCATTTTACCTTTTAAATTCTTCAAATGCAACGTATTGTAGTATATTGCTCCATTGTCACATGGCAATAAATACTATTATATTATTTTATTGCATCCTACAAAAAAAATGTTAAATTAATTCTCTGTAATATGTTCGTGACATCACAGAAAGATTTTGCCATAATTATATATATGTATATAACAATTAAGAAGATGTAAATCACTTAAAAACAAAAGTTACGAAAAGATTTTTATTGAAAATTTGATTTTTGTATAATTTTGCACATTTCGCAAAATTTAAATGTACAATTCGATTATATAACTATAAGAACTAGAATTAATTTCGTTTTTTAAATTAGAAATGTAAAAAGGAGATATACTACTGTAGCTTTTAACCACATCATTATCTTATTTAACAATAATTTGGATTCTACAATAGCGATATGGCATCATTGAGATACTTATTCGCAATCCTAATGCACATACAATGTCATAAGACAAATTCCGTAGGGCGCATCAACTAAAAATGGCAAAATACGTAATTATAAAAAATAGTATAGCTTATGTATGTATTTAAGGTACTGTGTATGTTTGCATTAAAGATACTATAATTGTATACTGCATGTGAAGCATCATTTTATTAAACGTTCTATTATTGCGATTTCGTAAAGCTCCACGAATATAATTATCTTATGAAACGCTAATTTTTAATTTTAAATATAATAAACATTTTACTTGCACGTATTATTTCTTTCTGTGCAATTTTACATTCGCCTCTTTATGTTACATTTAAAAATATCAATATTATGAAATAGAAATTTCTAAAATGTATTCTTAAAATTGACTTATAAGAGGCTTACATTATGAAGATTTCCCGTATGATTTACCAAATAATGATGAAATAATACATATATTATTTGTTTTATTAAAATTATATATTTACTAAAATCACTATTATCATTGAAAGTGATATTTTAAAGAAGATCTACAGTATGTCTTACATTAGAACATTTTTTTATACTATGCAAAGTAAAGTAATAAATAGAATTAAACGTTTGGCACGATCACGGGGCACATGCGGAGAACTGCAGTGCATTTTGATTAACAAACTTACCTTTTTAAAAAAGATAAAAAAAGGCGCTTAAAATATACGTACTCCTCGAAAAAACCTAAGTGTCCAACCCAATTAATAGTAGATTTAATTTTTTTACAAGGGTATTCTTATAGAAGGTCTTATTCCAACCCAAGTAAGTCCAACGGCAGCTTTAATTCTCTATCAACAATTATTACTCGTCGAAAAAAAAACTACTGTAATGTCAGACGATGTTTCGAAACTGAGGACAATCGCTTTGTCATTATTATTTCATAAGTTAATAAATACCAGGGTATTATTTCGTTTCCATGTAATCTCAAATATTAATAATATTAAACTGTCTATAGAGGTACGAAATTAACAATGGTTACAGTAGGAGGTTGCCAATGATTCCACCATAAGCATGCGATTAGCTCAGCGTAAATGTATTAGGCTACCGTTCTAAAGATTGTGGGTTAAAATCTTGCTGGCGATGCGATGCGTTTTTCATTAATTAATTGCAGTTAGAAAGACAGAATATAGATCTGCGAAACAGTAAATATAAATTGAACTGGAAAAATGGAAAGTAATTATAACAAAACAAAATTATTTTATTTCGTTATAATATAACTGTGTTCTTTTTATTATGGCAGCTACGCATTGGCAATACGCTCTTTATCTAAATTTCTATCAAGGATGTTTCATTTGAGTTTTAAAATATCTGTTGAATTGTTTATGAGATGGAAATTTAAGTAAGTCAACGCACAATGTTTTGGTCAACCTACAACTACGTTCCACGACTCAGTTACAGTCATCTTCGTGCTTAGGCCCTAAGTAGGCCGCATACCAGTCGAAATGTAGATATCTCACTTCGGTAAGCACGCAACTCACTCGCAGGCAACGGTACCCTACGTGTGCCTCATGATCCTCACATCTGAATCGTATAATAAATAATACCAACGACTTTTTAAAAAAAAAAACCAAAACATGCATATGGTACATTTAACACGTTATGAAAGCATAATATTGCTTTTGAAATGCTAAATATCTAATGTTTTACACTATAAGGTATCTTCAATCGTTTTAACGTAGAATTTGTTTTTCCACTGGAGTTTGTCACGCTGTGAACGCTCTCGCACTAATAATAAGTTAGATCAAATTGCGCCGGTCCAAACTGTAAGAACGAAATAAGATTTATATTTCCTTATAACACTGACAATTGTCGGGAAATAATTTTATGTAACGTAATGTATCATTATTTCAAATTACATGTTACATTAAAAACGACTATTGATGGAATTATAGCACTTTTTATTCTCTAACTGCGCAATTATAGAAACTTACTAAATTATATCGCCACATATTTTCTTTCTACATGAGATGTTTTACTGAAAATAAAAAAATGTTCAGTATGCTTCCTGATACGATATTATTCACAATACATCCGCGATATTTTTATTCGCAAACTTATTCTGTCTGCTAAGTAAGATGGTTTTTTCTGGTGAACGTTACTACAACATTTATCGAATTATGTTGACAGCGATTGGTTTGTGGCCTTATCAAACGTCGATTATTATGCAAGTGCAAACAGTGTTTTTCCTTGGCGCATATTATTTCATTCTTTTGTCCCAGGTATTTCTCGGTCCTTTTTTTCTTACACTAACCCTTCTTTGAGTGATTCTAAATTCGTATGTTGTATCATATTTGTGTGTTACAGTTTTCGACTTTCTTAAGAACAACATGCAACTTGGAATTTATTTTTAAAGAACTTCCATGTATTCTCATGACCATGTTCTGTACTATAATTTATAACTCTTGTTATTTTAATTCTAAAGAAGTAAGTATTCCTTGAAATTATATATTTATAGCTACGTCTATTTACCACCGTGAATAATTCCGGCAAATAAAAGGAAATTTTGGAAGAAATAATTATTTAAATAATAGATGAAATATTTGTTAAAACAAATAAAATTGGACTGGAATTCATTCGAAGATGAAAGTGAAATTAAAATATTAGAAAAATACGCCATCGAAAATCGCCTTGTATCAATATTTCTAAGTTGTAAGTAAATTATAAAATAAATTATAAATATAACTATAAATATATAAATTATAAATATAATTATAAATATTTTGGTTTATTTAATTTATTAGTATAAATATACTTTTCAATATACAGGGTGTCTCATTTTAAAGAATCCACTGAAATATATCGGAAACACTGCGTTAAATAAAAAAATATTTTAAATAAATGTTTTTTTACTTCGAGGGGAACATAAGATGGTGCCATTTGTTTGACCTTGGATGGCTTTGTCAATATCAGGGCAAAGTCACTTTGAATTTTTTAAATGGAATCCCCCATTTTCCATTACATATTTTGTAGCTTACCTCGAGAGCTTTTCAAAACACTATAGTAAAATATTTTTTAATTAAGTACTATGCGAGTTATAAGGCTTGAAAATTATAGTCGTCGACATTAGCATGACCCAAGGTATAACCTTTTGAATGTTGTTCAGGATAATGACCTAAATAACATTTGTCAAGATCAATGAATTTTTAGTGCAAAAATGAAAATAAGAGGAACAACTTTCATTGACCTCGATCCTAACAAATATTATCCAGATCATGATCCTGTACAACATTCAAGAGGTTATAGCCGTCGGTCGGACACCTTGGGTAATACTAATGCCGGCGGTGTTGTAACTTCCAAGCCTTATAACTCAAAAAGTACTTAATGAAAATAAAATTAATTATAGTTTTGTGGCTTATCCGTCGAGGTAAGCCAAAAGAATATGTAATGAAAAATAGGGGGTTCCATTTAAAAAATTTTAAGTAACCCTTACCTTGACAACGCCATCTAAAGTCAAACCAATGATAGCATCTTATGTCCCCCTCGAAGTCACAAAACTTTCGTCTGAAATATTTTTCGAATTAACGCAGCATTTCTAAGATATTTTCATGGATCCTTTAAAATGGGATACCCTGTATACTCCTCTTTTTTAAAAACTTTAATGATGATAATTAAATAAAGTTGTATGCTGTCTTATTATTTTTTACGTTTCCAGTTTGCACCGCATTTAGTATGTTTTCGTTAGTAACCATTGAATTAACACCAATTGTCCTTGACGCTGTCATACCGATGAATAAATCTCGGCCACGTAAAATAAAGGTGGACTTCGAATTTTTTATTGACCAGGAACGGTATTTTTATATTTATTTAATACATGAAATCATAACAATGCTAATTGGAATGTTAACAGTACTTGCAATTGGAACATTATCGTTGGGATTTTTCAGGCATTGTTGCGCAACTTTTAAAATCGCTAGGTAAGCGTATCTTTCAATTTTATGAAAAAAATAATCTATCTTGAGTTGTTAATTATGTGTAAATTGTTTGCAGTAACATTATCGAAAATACAGTGACGAAACATACATTTCAAATTCCTACTTATCGAAAAACATATGTGATGTATCAGAAAATTATTCGTGCTGTTCATATTCATAGAAAATCTGCTCAGTTAGTCTTTATATAACTCTTTTAGCATTTATGATCTATTACCTATACATGCGAACATTGATTTTAATTTAAAAAAGCATATTATTTAATGCCCTCACATATTTGAACTCAAATGTATGAATTAGATTTTTCTTTGTTATTGAAGGTTTTCCACATCCTTTTTAAATATTGTAAACAAATGGTATTTCGCTTTAGTGATATTAAGCGTAATATCTTTAAGTTGCAGTCTTTTTCGAGTAAGTAATGCTTTTGTAAGTAATACATTTTTTACGTTTTACATTCAGTTCGATTTTTATAGATATGAATTTGTGCCTTATATATATGTATAAATTGAAACATATAAATAATAATATAATATATTTTTATAGTTACTTAATGCATTAATATTGTCAAATGGGTTTTCCGAAATAACGTTGTGCATCGGTATAGTAGTATGTCATTTTATAGTCATGTTTGTAACTAATTTTGTTGGACAATCAGTTATTGATCATTACGCAGAAATATTTAATGCCGCGTAAGTACCGTATAAAGTACAAATTCAATTATAAATCGACGAAACAAATTAGTTTCTTCAATCAAATTCAGTGTCCATATTGTATGATATTTTTTTCAATCAATGATTTTTCATCAATTTCTAATCTATTATATATCTGACACAAATAACCGCAAAGTTAAAAATTAAATTACAAGGAAAAAACAAGTGTCTTTTCTTGGTAATTGTTATCTAATGAACTCTAAAGGAAATGCCGTTATCAACTTTAATATTGAAATATCTCGGAAACGGTAGACCGTCTTCAAATGGGGGGGATGATTTTTATGCGTTTAGCTTTACATCGATTTACTATTGCGTCTCTGATAAGATATCGATTATATAAAGTTGGGAATAAGTATATGAAAATCGACAATAAAAATTCCCAGGAATTCACTTCATTGGATTGAACGTATTAAATAATCTATTATTTTATATTAAATTAATGATATTTAAAGAATCATTGTTATTCTAGGATGATGTTTACATAAATATTCGATCACAAATTATTTCATGTAATGAGAGAAAGAATCCTACACTCAGAGAAAAAAGTCACATCAGTAACTATAAATTTGTAGTTAAATAGCGCCTCAACTATATGTATATATACTATATATGTATGTATATATGCAGGGTGAAAAATTTCAAATGGCCCGAATATCTCGGAAAATACGAAAGATACGAAAAAATGTTTCAGAAAAAAGTCGTATGGTTCGGAGGGGAATATAAGAAGGTATCATTTATTTGACCTTGAGTGGCGTCACCAAGGCCAAGTTAAGATCACATCTATTTTTTTTAAATGGAACCCCATAGTTTTCATTATATTTTCTTGTAGCTTACTTCAAGAGCTTTTCAAAACGCTATAATAAAATATTTTTTGATGAAATATTTTTCGAGTTGTAAAGCTCGAAGGTTACAGTACAGCCGCACTGTTAAATTTATATTGTCAAATATAACCTACCGTGAGTCGCTACTGCTCCTACTAAATATATTGTTATTTTTTATCAAAATGATAGTTAAATTTGACACTATATCGTGTCAATTTGACACTGTATAATATCAAATATAACCATTGTTTTAGTATAAAATAACGATATGATTGAGTAGGAGCAGTGGTGACTCACGTTAAGTTAAATTTGACACTGTAGATTTAACAGTGCGGCATTAGAATTACGCAAGTTGTCCGACTGACGGTTGAAACCTTTTGAATGTTGTTCAGGATCATGTCCTGGATAACATTTCTCAAGATGAAGGCCATTGGAGATTATTCCTCTTATTTTCATTTTTGTACTAAAAATTTATTTTTACGCAAAAGGAGTGGGGGGGATGGAACTTCCCTTCGCGTGAAAGACCATTACGTAAGCAAGGAGGGGTATAGAATATTTTTTAATATTATATATAGTAGAAATAAGGCGTTATTTTTTCAAATTTTTTTATTACTAACTTTTTAACGGACAACGAGCGACGACTAAAACCTGTTGGAAGTCATTCAGGGTCATGACCTTGACAAAATGTCAAGGTCAAGTTCACCGGAGAGGTCCCCTAAAGTGAATATTTACCGAATTTTTACATTTGTAATATTCGTTAAAATGAGTAAAGATTTGTAGCTTTTTATAATTTCAGTGTACAGTTATGGGCAAAAATGACTGTTATAAATAATGCAAAATCTAATTTTTTTGTTTTTAGGTATAATACAATGTGGTATATAGCTCCATTATCAATACAAAAATTGCTTTTGTTTGTGATGCAAAATTCTCTGAAAGCATACACCCTAACAATTGGACATATTTATGTAACATCTCTAGAGGGATTTTCTACGGTAACATAGATACTTTTAGTGGCACACTGAGAATCCTATTTAGTTGAACTAGCTAATATTTTGACCATATTAAAACAACTCTTTTTTTAAAATGGATAAATAAAGTCTTGACTGATGCTATAAATTAATTTTTAATTGATGCAAAATATTTGATTATTGTAATATTTCACTCGTTTCTGAGGTAATTACGCAGAATTGGACCTTTTCCGAGTTCCGATATTTTTCGGCTGCAATATTGATAATAATATTTGTTATTACTCAAATAGTGATAATAAGTCGGGGGAGGTCGAAAAAAAAATTTTCTTTTAAAACACAATTGATAAACTAGAAGCCTATGCCGATCGTATTACATATTTCGCGTGGACATCGTGCGCCCCCAAGCAGGGGGCAGGTGGGATGGGAGTCGTTTCGCGTGGAAGTCGTGCAACCCTAAGCAGTGGGGAGGTGAGGTGAAAGTCGCTTCGCGTGAAAAGTCATGCACCCTTATGCCGAGAGATAAGGTACACAGAGAGAAAAATGTTTGGTATTTGTAACTATAATTATATATTACTATAATTATGATTATTACTACTATAATAATAATAACAGTAACTATATATATAGTTCCAGCAACAAATGTTATAATTGGCAACCTAAAATGACTATAATTATAGTTGTTGTAACCATAAAATAGTTGAAATTACCATAAAAATGGTTCAAATGATTATAATTTTATAGTTATATGGTTCAAGTGGTTCAAGTGACTATAACTATAAAATTATAGTCACTTGTACCATTTTTATGGTAATTTCAACTATTTTATGGTTACAACAA